TCGTTTTAATGAGGAATGCCGACATCTGCTTGGTGGATGCAGGGAAACTGTGCTTGTTAAACGAAAACAGCCGGCTGAAATCAAAGTGTCAAGGTGTCCCGTAAAGAGCAGCTCTCCTGAAACCTGGAGGGCAGTCGAGGGCAATATCGAGATATTTTTAGTTTTTTTTTGTTTTGTTTTTTTTGGCAAAGGTGTAATTTTTCATTTCGGGTTTTGGCAAAAAACCGCAACTTCACAAGGAAACGAGGACAATCCTGTGATTTAAAAATGATTCTCCGAGCCTTGTAGGTGACTGGATGGGAAACCAGCAATGCAGCTCCACAGTCAGTAAAGTGCATCCGTCACCTCGTTGTGTTTCTCATGGAGGTGATGCTTATTTACGTTTGCTCTTACTGTAATAATGATGCTACCTTTTTGTTAAAACAACTTGACTATGCCAAGAGCTGTCTCCAGCAGCACCAATGACCGTCTCCTGCTTACAGAAAAAAAGCTGCAATGATGAATCAGTTATTATTCTATTTTGATGACTGATGAATCGTCATTTGTCAAACAGAAATGCCAGAAACATGAGGATAGTTGAAGAAATATCTCTGGGTTTGGACTGATGAGACATTCGGAGACATCAGCTTTTGATTTTGGGGATCTGGGATGTGCACTTTTTTTTTTAAACTGCTTTTTGGCATCACATATTCACAAAGTTGACCAGTATTGGAAATTATCATTACCCACGGCCCTAAAAGAAAGTCATCCAGACATGTAACTGCACATTTGGCTTCAGAGGGAGACAATTTAATCAGATATTTGAAAGCCACATACAATGTAGTAATATAGATTTACTGATTTGTTTTGTGGGCCTCTAACTACCTGAAAAGAGCCGTGGCATTTAGTAGTTAAAATCTGGAAAATAGAGACAATACTCAATCGGTATTCTTTCAGTGATTGCCATGCAAAAAATGTGAAATGAGTCTCCACATGAAGCAGGAGGTAATGAACATGTGCAGAGCTTTAAAATCTTTAAAATCAATTCCTTTTTACCCCTTAAGTGGCGCTAAATTGCAGTTATTTAATTAAAAATGTTAGATAAAACGGACAGTCTCTGGAAATGTGTGAAAGCCGAGCGGTAAAGGTCGAGGCCGGCTGGAAATCGACCGGTGACTCACCGGTTCGAGGCCTCATGTTTAGCCGATATGCAAACGGTTCAAGATAAAATCCTGGTAAATCCTCCAGAAACTCTACTGTAGCTTAGGAGAATGAAAAAGTGTCATAGGAAAGTGTTGAGCTGCACCAACACAGTGAACTGAAACATCCACCTTAGGGATGATAAGTGGTTAATCGTTGATGGTTAATCGATTAGCTGCCGTGTCAGAAAATGTGTTGTACGTCATCTGTAGTACCTCTTGAACACTGTAGCGACCTGAGGAGGCGTTCACCCACATTACCAGCAGCTCTGTTAGTTTAGCCAGTGAAGGGCCACCATGACAAAGTCTCCTGTCATGCTTAACGCCTACCTGCCAGAGCTTCACTTTTCTTGAAGCTGAAGTGGACTAAAAGCAGTTTAACTTCGGCCTTGTGGCTGATGATCTTTGCCATCGAAGATCACATTCGAAGCATCTGGACGTTAAACAGAATGTAAATCTCTGCATCGGTGCTGCTGGAGACAACCTTCACTACAAACTGTCTCATCTTTGTTGTGTGTCGCTACCTTCTTCTCTCGTTGTATGTGGAGCTGCATCTTTTCGTCTCGAACCCCCTCGAAGTATCGCAACCACGATCCAGTTTGTCTGCTTCACATAGTCCAACACTGTAACGCAGCGTTACAGTCAGCGTCACCACTACCTCCACAGCATCGAACTGCAGATGTTAAAGCTCTTGGATCGAATGTTATCGTTGGACAGATTTAGATCATATTTAGCTAACCGAGGTTAACTAAACGTTATAGAGAGAGATTATAAAGTTGTTTGTGTGTGGGCTACCTCTGTTTCCATGCGGTTGTCTTAGATACTGTGTCAGGATGACTGTCCCCTCCCTTCCCTGCCTTCAGTCCCACACACTGATCCGTGGGTTCGTTACCGACTCCACCTCCGTGGAATCGGGTCGTCTAAACTTGGGAGCTCAACCGAGCCGACGCGCTCGTCTTTCGTCCACTTCGTGTCGCACCCGGCGAGGTGTCGTCGTGATCCGTGTCGTCCATTCGGCTCAAAATGAGAAATTTACACGAAAGGAGGCCTTAAAAGTTTTGCTTCCAAAGAAAATGTTTACTGTAGTGGACACAAAACATCTCAGTGGTCTTAAAAGCTACCAAGTGCCGCACTGTTTAGCGTTTTTCTGTAAAAATGATCCGGAAGGTTTCGAGCGGACGTCTGTCGCAGCCTTCAGCAAGATTGTCCCGCTGTGCTCGTGTTTGTTTTTTTTTGTTTTTATCAATGCGTCGGATGAGCGAAAACTGGAACTCACAGACGATTTCAAGCCATCAAGTTGGTGGGAAAATGTTCCGGATGACAAAAACAAACACTCCGTAGCTGTTGTGGAGCTTTGATCACATCACAGGGTTTTCCTCAGCAGACGTCGTGAAATTGAAACTTGAAATCTCGTCGACTCCCAAGCGAGATGAGCGGTTTCTTGTTTTTGCTGTTTAAAGTAACGTTACTCCTCCGCCTCCTTCTGCTGAGGAAGACGGTGTGATGCAGTCAGGAGCTCTCCTTGTGCTTGTTTTTGTCAGATGATCTCATCAGCTGGCTGCAGTGAACACGTGTCAGGCCTCAGTGTCCCTTCAAAAAGCAAAACACACAAACCGTTATGAATGAACATTTCAAATATATAGTTGGTCGAAAAATGTAAAGATTTGATGTGTGATGTGTTTTGTTTTTTCTCCCTAAAGGACCATGCCTTTGTTTTTTTTAAACCATTTGCATTCTTCACCCAGTTTGACAAGAGTTAAAGCAGCTGTTTGATTTGGATCCAAAGCACATTTCAAGTGTCTGCAGGTGGATTCGCACATCGTGTGTGAATAAAATGAAAACCAACAGCTGCCTGCCGGAGAGCTAAATGGAAAATGAGTCGGTTAAATGTGCTAAAACACAAATCTGTAGGATCTTTAATCATAATCAGAGAACCCTCACACCTGTTGGCGAAGGAACAGCCGATCAGGTGTTTTGTGCAGCTGGCCGGCTCACACCTGGACCGGTCAGCAGCATCACGGAGGTGTTCTGTTTAAATCAGAGTTAGAAGATGGTCACTGTTGGTGTCATCGGAGCAGCTGGAGATTTCAGTCAGGAATCTTTTCACAACAAAGGAAGATGAGTCTTTACTGTGATCAGGTGATTATCTGACAGCAGAGTGACGTCTTTACAGGTGAAGTCAGTCGTGCGGTAGATGTGTGTCAGTGGATCAGATGTGAAAAGACAGAAGATATTCACTTGTATAGAGAGTTCTTCAGTTGATATGCAGAGTCTATTAGAGAAAGAGCTTTATTAATTAATGTAAATTAATATTTTTCTAAAACCCTGTTCAGTGGCGTAGCGTTTGACTTTTTGTTCCAGATTGAAGGGTTGAGTTCAGCTTGTTTCTGACCACAAACCTTTATTTTTTCTAAACCATTTCAGTTTGAGGCAGATCGTTTAATTCCTGTCTATAGTTCTGACTTTAAATGGGATGAAAGTGGGTGAATAACAAAGTAAGAACTGCTGTAAACGTGGGACAGAGCAGGGAGACGTTTGACATAAGCGCTGTGAAAAGGCTCCTCCCACACCGTTGGTGCTCCCGCCGTTAGTCTAAAGCTTCCACCGAGTGCTGCTAGAGAGCTTTAACATACAAACTCTTTTTTTTTCTTTAGGATCAAGTTTTGTTTTTTTTGCGACAGTCTAATGTATTAATGTGACTCGGTTTGGACTGAGAGGCTGACCAAGCACTGCACAGTGTGTTGTTTTTTTTTGTCCTCGAGGACGGACTCGCACTTGGGACGCAGCTTTAGCTCCGTCCTCCGTCACAGTCGCTCACACAGTTTCCAGATCAGGTGGAGAATTAAAACTGTTGAACCGAAATCTCTTCTGGGATACACGTCGAAATGTCTTAATGTTGAAGGATGTTCTTGATTTTCTTTTATATTAATTTTGTTTTTATCGTTACCTGAATTGTGTTTCTGTTCACCTACGTCTTGTTTCTTTAACTGTTTTTGTTCTGAAAGTTAAATTAATGTTTTTACACAAAACTGATCAGTTTTTTTTTTCTGTGATTGACACGTAACGGTTTTTTCTTTTGGAATTCTGTTTTCTTTTTTGTAAAAAAAAAAAAAAAAAATCACATTTTGTCTTGTTAGTTGGAAGCTGGTGATTGATTTTGACTGTTGTGTTTATTGGGATTGATCTGGTTAACAGGGTATCCATGTATCCGATGGATGGGATGATTTTACATTATGCAAAAAGCTTGAATTAATTTAGCACTTGTACAGCAATTAAAATGCTTCTTACGTTACTGTGGCTGGTTGTCTTTTATGTGTTTCATTGCGTACAAGCAGCAGATTAGATTAGAATTTAGCAAATTTTTATTATTACTTTTTTCAGTTTCTCGTTATTTGAGGGCTGCAAGGAGGCGCGGTGGTTAGTGTCGTTGCCTCGCAGCAAGAAGGTCACCGGATTGTGTCCCGGTGAGGACACCTGGGATCTTTCTGCATGGAGTCTCCATGTTCTCCCTGTACAGCGTGGGTTCTCTCCGGGTTCTCCGGCTTCCTCCCACACAGTCCAAAAACATGTTGAGGTTAATTGGTGATTCTAAATTGTCCGTAGGTGTGAATGTGAGTGTGCTTGGTTGTCTGTCTCTAAGTGTAGCCCTGTGATAGACTGGTGACCTGTCCAGGGTGTCCCCTGCCTTCACCATAAGTCAGCTGGGATAGACTCCAGCCCCCCATGACCCTAGTGAGGATTAAGCGGTGTATAGATAATGGATGGATGTATACTTTAAAAAAATAAAATAAAATATAGACAGCTATGCTCAAAGAGGCAAACTAAGCATTTTAAAAATAATTTATTGGTCTTTATGTACAAGGAAAAAAATGAAGTAGAAAACCAAACATGAGTAGAAAAGGCAAATGTACAAGAGAGTATCTTTACACTGCATTGAGGATGTCTGCTGCCCCAGAAATAAAACTCTACTCTGAGTAAACAGGCAATACTTTTAAACTGTACACAGTAGGGAGGGAGCGCTAGTGTCCACCTGTGAGTGAATGTGACACCCGAGTACCACGAGACACACCTGACCGACCGCTCCTCACCCGCAGAGAGGGAAACCAAAAAAAAACAAAAAACGTCTGAAATATTCATTTCCGTAGGAAATTGTCTCGTATGCTGTCAGCATTAGTCTGTTGAGCCATGGCCGTTATGTTTCTGATGAGGGGGGGAGGTTTAGTGGGTGTGTTTTGAGGTTTTTGTTCCCTCTGCATAATGACTCGAGCGTTCAATCGAAGCAAACCGGTTAAAACAGAAGGCCTCTGGACGTAAAAGTCTTTGGTTCATCAAGTTACCGTTTTCAAGTCAAGTAAAGCTTACAGCGGGAGCAGCGTAGTGTGGCTGTAGGCTTGTTCAGAGTGGAGACGACGGGGGGCCCACCGGAACCAGGGGGGCAACAGGGCCGAGGGGGCGACGCCTGTCCCGTTTAGTCATTTTGCCCTTTCGTGTTTTCGCGAGTGTTCTAACAAATACAGGCAGAATCTAAGTTTCCACAAACAAGAGAGCAAAAATGAACCTCTAGAATATGATTTGGTCTATCGTGAAAAGCTAACAGCTGGGAGGGTTGTGGGGGGTGGGGGACAGAAAAAAGAAGCATAAAAAATAAAGCTGAGTAACATTTCAATACATTGCACAATATAATACTGACATATGCGTGATGAAGCGTTTAGTGCTCGCCGTGTTGAGCTTTGATAACCGAAACAGGAGGGGGGAAGAGTCTCGTCAGTCATAAAAACAAACGTCTCTGTTCATCACTTCAGCAATTATCACTCAGCTAAAAATACCAATAAATAATAGTAATAATGAGGACTAATACAATAAAATCAATTCCACACATTTTTGAATACGATGTGGTTCAGAAATGCACACAGAAGCACACGACATCAGTCAAGCGGTTCAGGGATGTGATATGCATGTTGAACTGGACGAAGTATGAAGTCCTTATCAGATGACGAGGGTTCAGATTACACAACAGCGCTTCCATTGCACAACGACAATCCCTCTGTTTCAAAAACAAAAAAAAAACGATACTGACGTGTCACTTCTAACACTGCTGACGAGGGGGGATCCGATGATGCTCTTGTAACGAGGGACAGCTACAAAAAGCAGAATGGCTTTGACGGCACGTTCATCGCGTGCCTCGCTGATGATGGGAAACACTCTCAGATGGGGGCGTTTAAAAGCTGGATAAAGTGTCGTATGATTTGGTTTTTGTAGCATGCGTTCGCACCTCCGCCTTCCAATCTTTCTCAGGAACCTGCTTGTGGCTTCGGTGAGGTCGGGGGGGGCCGTGAAAAATACATGAGCGGAGGTACTGATCAGTGGTAAGAAACTAGTCTGCAGTGGATTCGTTCTCTTCTTTTTCAAGAATTGCACAGAATTCAAACCGTCTTTTCACGAGCGAGACTCAAGAGGGACGAGTTCTAATCAATAGAAAAATAACGTCATCTCGTTTGCGCCGCTGCATTATTCCAAAAAAGGTATCACAAAATATTTTAAAATCATATGAGGTATGAAAGTATGAAACACCTCTTGTGCACACACACACACACACACACATACACACTTACTTGCTGGAGGCTCAGACACACTTCAGTGCATCTCCGTTAAATGACTTTGTTCTACATTCTGCTTAGCAATGTAGCGCGATGATCAGATAGACTCTTGATTCTTTCACCGTTTACCGAATGGAAACGATGGAGCTTTTTTTTGTCTGGACAGTCTTGGAATTACAATAACAACACAAAAAAAACAAAAAAAAAGCCTGGTGCTTTCATGTGCTGCTCTACAGCTTCCAAACAGGTGACTTTGTTTTTTTTTCTTCTGGTGAAATGAGTCCTGTTAGAAATAAAAGCGTCAGACTTGAGGCCTGTCTCTGGTTGTGCTGTGATGTCTTTGTGCCGGTCGGGTCTGTCTGTCGCTCAGTATCCACGGGGGCTCTGCTCGACACCAAGGGCAAATCTGGAGAGTGGATAATACTGACTGAAGTAAGAACCTGCCGGAGAGGTACTTTCTGTGCACACACACACACATACATACACACAGACGCACACACACACACAAAAATAAAGTCATTTTCCAGTCAGCTGCCACTGCTGCTGCTGCTTCCTCGGGGATCCACAGTTCACAGGTTCGAGTCCAGAAGAACCCCCCCCGGGCTTCAGGACAAGGTGCAGTCGTAGGCTCCCTCCTCCTCGCCCTGCTCCTCCATCTGTTCAGGAGGACAGTCCTCGGAAGGGGGGCGAGGAAAACCTCCCGCGGGCTCGAGGGCGGGCAGAGCCAAGCCGAGCGGAGCCGCGACCCCCCTGCTGTCCTCCACCCGCGGTACCGTCGCTCCTCCCAGCCCCTCGGAGCCGCTGAGTTTGGAGCTCTGGCTGACGGGCTGGAAGGCTTCGGGCTGCACCTGCTCGGACGCCGAGTCCAACAGCTGCTGCAGCTGCGGCTGGATCAGGTTGAGGAAGGGTTTGTATCCGAGGCTGGAGACAGGAGGGAGAAAATAGCACTGAGGTTGTGGTCAGATATAGGAAGGTTCTTAATTGAGTGAAATGACCCAGAAGAGCTGGTTAAAGCGCCTTTAATGCTTCCGCTCTTATCTTTCTTAACACAGGATACACTGGTCCATCCTTTGCAAACAGAAAGGATGGACCATAACTCCTAGTGGCAGCAACATTCACAGCAATGCACCACCCACAGCAGACCCACAACAACATCTGTTGCCAAAAGATTACGTCGCCTTGTGTAACTGCAGCACCGTGGGCTGTCTGTTCAGCGTCCTCATGAATCCTCCTTCACATCTTTGTTTGACTCCTTGACATTTTCGGTCAAGCAAGTGTTCAGGAAAAGACTTTTTTTTTCCTAATTCTTCCACCTCATCATGGGTTTATCTATCATATTAACTGATGCTGTTAGTTCACTCACTTTAAGCATCAAGCAGATTCTCATCTTGAGTCCTAAAGGAAAACATTTGACACTTAGATCATAAAACACTCACCAGTCAGTGGAGGCCCACGTGTCGACGCCCAGTAAGCCGTTTCGGACGCTCTGCACAGTTTCTGGAGGAACCTCGGGGCTGTCCAGGAAGCTGATCACTTGCTTGATGACGTTTGCATCCCGCAGGATCAAGCCGATCACCACACACCACTCCAGACAGCCGGCCTCCATGAACACATGGAGGAGGTACCTGAGAGAGAGAGAGAGAGACGGCTTGTGTTGAATTATATTGACAGAAGGCTGCTGTGGAAATCCAGGAGGAGAGCGAGATCTCACCTGAGCTGCACCTGTGACTTGTGTGGGCCTTTGTTGGCCAGCTCCATGGAGATGTGCTCCAGCTCGGCCTGGCTCAGGCTCAGAGTGGAGGAGTTCTCGTCGACCATGGTCCAGTCGCCGTCCACCACTGAGCTGGTCTCCGTCAGATCCGTGGCCGAGCCGACGCTGTACTCCTCGACTGGAGGAGAGAAAGAAGACGTTAACAGAAGAACACAAACGCTGATTGCAGTTTAGAACAACAAGCAGTGTCTGTTGACGAACGGCAGATGGGAGCCGTGCCGTTTTAGGAGAGGGATTAACTGTTCGGCTCTTGTTACCTTTGTTGGTGAGGAGCGACAGGAAGGCGTCGTGTGTCTGTGGTGAGTGTTGGTTGGAGTGAGCTGATGAGGCCGTGTCCGTGTCTTTGGCCCTCTGCCCGAGGCCGTCCATCCAGGTGTGGTTGGTGGGAGCAGCCGGGGGCGGCGCCGCGTCCATGTCGCTGTTCAGCAGGCTGTCGGCTGACTGGGACTTCAAGAGCCGTGTGCTCAGCACTGAGGGCAACAACGAGAGAGAAAGAGTATGGTGACAGAGACACTTAAAATTTAATCAGTGAGTCAACTGGGGCAGGAGAAACCTTAGTTCACATGTGTAAGGGCTGCTGTGTTGGTAAACCTTGGAAAGGCAGGTGATTGTATTTCAGTTGTCAGAATTACACCACTTAACAGTTTGTTACGTGACGAGCCAGAAACCGCAAAAACAGGAAGAATCATTAGATGTGCAACTTTCCCACAGTTTTTGAACTTCTCGTATGACTTTCAGTTTTGTCTAAATCCAAGCTTAACATTGTGATACTTTATTTAAATCACTGTATTCTGCATGCCTCATTTAATAGTTTGCTCTGACCTGGTTGTGTAAAAAACTAAAAATTCTGGGCTGCTTGACACAACTGAAAAGCCACTAGTGACTCAGCTGCAACTAACAGTCACGTGACAAAAATTCAGGGACTTTTTAAATAAACTATAAACTAACTTCACACATAGGAGACAACTGCTGAAGAGTAACGAGGAATATAGAACACACACATCCTCAGGACATCCAAACTACAATAACAGATGCATACCAAGCTATTTGAATCAACTATGAGTATTCTGAAGTTGCACCAATCAGCATACCTTCAACGTTTACATTTCCACTGATACCCGACTTTGTTTCCTCACCTGAGCGACAGCGTCCGTTCTTCAGAGGCGAGCTGAGGCTTCCCACGGGAATGACGGGGAACGGCCACAGAAAATCCTTGTGCAGCCTCTTCAACGCCGAAACAAAATCCTCGACCCGGGCCACTCGGTTTCGCTCGCGGCACAACCAACCGATGAGCTCGAAGCCCAGCTGTGCGGAGAAGCACCCCAGGTCACGGAGGCGCACTTGCTCCAGGAGGTGGCGGGCGTGGCGCCAGAGCATCATATCAATGTACATGTTCTCTGCACACTCCACGTCCCGTCTGGCAGGAGGAAGTAAAAGTAGGGGATGTTATAGTGAGAACATTTTCAACACAACATGATCGCAGCGTTCACAGTATAACGTGTGTGTCCGTACCCTTTAGCAGAAGCTCCAGTGGGCATGCTGAAGGTCTTCTGCAGGTTGAACTTTCCTGTCGTGACGGAGTCGGCCGACTGAGACAAGCTGATGCTGCGATTTCTAAAGAACTCGAAACCTGTTGAGCTGGGTTCCTAAACACAGATACAGATGCTCATGTTTACGGGTTTGTCGTACCGTGATCAAGTGCAGCTGACTCATCACAACAAATCAGCAACCGCATGTGTGCTTTCCAGTACGATGTAAATGTTATTACTGAATACATTTCTACTGAGCTTACTGCCTGAATGTTCATGTCAGATGGATTACAAACGAATCACAGATTTTGTGCACCGTTATCTGAATCCACTCTAAGCCACCGAAATCAGATTTTGGAATTGGCTTGAAAAAAAGGTGCAAATCCTTTCAACAGATCTCAATAGTTGGGGCTTTTTTTTTTATTGTGGACAGATTGAAATGATGAAAATCAGTGATATAGAAAATATTCTTTTGCCTGATGGGAGACAAGATCTGAACGGCAACTGCAAAAGTTTCTTGACTCTTCTTTAACTGCCAGAAAAGTGGGAAGCAAGTTGTACTGAGATGATGTGAAGCTCCTCACCTGAGTAGTGGGTGTCGGGGGCGGAGTCTCCATCTCCCCTGAGCCGATGGCTTTGAGGAATCGGATCATGTGCCTGCAGAGGTCCCACTTTCCCTGCTCAAGCGCCGTGTTGAAGAGAAGAGTGGCGTGCTGTCTGCTCACGGCTGGAACCTCCATGTTCTTTATGGGAAGAGACAAGACTTTTATGTATCACCATTTGAGGATGAAAATGTCCAGTAACTCCTGCATCATGCTAGAGTGTGTTAACATGTTCTTTAAATCCGAGCATACCTGCAGGATAATCAGATAGGAGGCTGCTGTGTCCAGGTCTTGAGCCATGAGACACTCCTCAAACAGATCTTTGGGGTTTCCCACAGCTGCAAACAGGTAGTTCCACAGGGCGTACTCTGTCTTCCTGGCACAGTGGACGATGGTCTGGAGGAAGAAGGGGAACTCTGTGATGAACTTGGCCACGGTGGGCAGCAGAGGGTCGGGTATGGGCTCCCGTGATGTCGCCTCTTCTTCCAGCACCACGTGAACCATGAGCTCCATGACATGGGGGAAGTAGGGGAGGGAGGCACATGACTGAGCCAGCATCAAAGCCTGGAAGAGGAGACACAAAGGAGTGGAGAGAATGAACTCGGTGACTTAGTCGGTGCTATGATTTCATGGTCCACAGAATGCAAACAAAAGGTCTGCGTGAGTCAAGTGTGTTAGATTTGAGGCGGTACGAGACGCTCCGCATACCTGTTCGCCCAGGTTGCGAACCAGCAGCTGCCTCAGGATGTGGTGGAGGTAGATCTGGGAGGTTCTCTCCACGGTGCAGTAGGGGAACAGTGCCTCCAGTGGCTCTGAGGATCCCTGCAGCCCGTCGTAGAGCACAGTCTCGTTGGTCGCCCCCAGCACCAGGGCGTCCTCGAACAGCACGGCCAGAGGGTAGATGTTGATGTGGAAGGGCAGCATGATGCGCCTGGAGAGGAAGGAGTGGGGCTTACGGTGGTCTCGGGGGAACAGCGGCAGCCACACTTTCATGCCTGCTTCTCCACAGGACAACCACAGGGCCTCCAGCAGGTGGCGCTTCTTCTTGTTGGAGCGACAGGTCGTCCACACGTTCTCCACGCACTGGGCCAGCACCACGGGAGGGCAAAATGGTAGCTAGCGGAGGGAGAAGAGCTGTTAGAGGGATTTCCTGAATAGTATGTGAAATGCTATTTACTCAACATGCTGGTTTACATGCTTTGAACTGTGGAAGAGTCACTTTTCTTAACTATAAAAAGTGATGTTTTCCAGTTCTGATGTTTTAGCTAACAGGTGCAAAGCTACAAATGACTTTGAGATGATACAAGGCTGCAGATTAAATAAAACCAACACAACTGCCAAGACCAAAAACTAATTAAAGCGTGATTTACGGTTTATTTGCATGGAGATCAAGGTGAATAGAACATTTTGCAAAGCTGGCGACTAAACTTTATTTGCAATAGAAGGCTTCTGCCAAAAAATGTGGCTGTTACGGTAAGAATTAGAAAATCAGGAGAGGTGTTTGGACTCACCAGCTTCTTGTTGACAGCAGGCGTCTCTTTCTCTCGTACCTGCGGTCCAGATCGGTCCCTCTGTAGCATGATCAGCTGGCCAGCCAGATTCAACATGATGCTCTCAGCCATGCAGGCCTGACACGGACACATTACAGAGGTGTTAACACACCTGTGGTTATAGCTCGGTGATTGTGTGTGTGTGTGTGTGTGTTTCTGTCTTACCTGCTGCGGGGCTTTCAATGTGATGCCAGTCTCTGTGCGCACAGACGTGAGCGTGACCGAGACCACGAGGGCTGGATGAGGGATGTAGCGAGACATTGACACCTCCTGCAGCAGCTCCACGCTGGCTGACGGATTTGGACTGGAATGAGGAGTACAAGTGCACACGTTATAAGTCAGAATCTCAACTTTAAGGACAGAAAAAGTCATGCACAGTAAAGAAAAACAAACAAAGCAACACAAGGAATTAGAGGACTATTTTAACCCCAGTGACACTGCAAAAGCTTTCAATATGACAAGTGATCATCTATGTAGAAACAACACGTAGCATTCTAAAATATTCCCTGATTAAATTGACTCTATGTGCCTGTCTGGAAAGTCGCTGTAATAAAGGGACATTAAAAACATAAAGTATTCTGAAATCTTTCAATTACATCACATGTCTATCTCTGCCAAGGAGGTGGAGATAAAAGTGGAATGTCTTCATTGCTGTTTGTTGGTTTGTTCACAGCATAATAAGCTGTTTGCTGCACTGTTTTGCACTGTTTCCACTGCACATTTGCCTATTATATGCTTAGATTGTATATTTTTTAGCCTATTGTATGTTTATTAAATGTTTACCTTCAACATTTTTTTAGCATGTATATTTTTTTTTCAACTGTTTTTTTTTTTTTTTTTTTTAAATGAGGGTTCAAGAGAAACTCAATTTCAGTTCCTGTATGTGTACACGTGTAGCAGAACTGACAATAAAATAAATTTGACTTGACTTGTTTGTTTTATGCAAAAACTACCAGGCCGATGAAACTTGGTGGAGACTTGGTGCATGAGTAAAGGAATAAGCCATTACATTTTGGAGTCTGTCCACCTTCCTTTACATAAACATCCAGATATTTATGAGGGGTGTGATCGCAGATTCACATATCATAGAAAACCAGTCTATTGGCCTTGGCAGAGCTCTGCGTTTTCCCAGTGCCCTTCGAGTTGACAAAGTCCTTTAGTTCTGTTGCTGGCATGAGTCAATGTCCCGGCCAGATGAAAAAGCAGAGGCCCAGTTCTGGCACGTGACGGGTTTAATGTCAAAAGCTTTTACTAAAGCCTCTTTTCCCAAGGGAAAATGCAGCAGAGTAACACTATTACCTAACAATACGGTGGCTATTGATGCCAGGGATTTCCCTGCTGCTGGAATGTGTCAGAGGAAGAAACTGTGTATGCAGTTTAGAAAAGACATCGTCATTCCTGAACAGTACCAGCATTTGTTTTGTAGTCTTAAACGCCTAAAACTTTAACGATCGGCCAGAATTCTTCATCAGGCACTTTATTCTTGATGTCACAAAGCATAAAAACTAATATGCTCCAAGTAAAAGGCTGGTAGACATAGTTGGATTAAAAAAAGAAAAAAAAAAAAAAGGATGGCAGATTGCGAACAGATGAGACTGTCCTTGGGAAAAGATTTATGTTATGGAGCTCTGAAGTTACAAGTGGGGCCCACCTGTCGTTCCTCCTCTCTATGCTGTAGAGGCAGATGGAGCAGTCGGCTCTGAACAGGATGACCATGTCTCTGAAGACGTTGAGCAGCAGGGTGTCTGAGTGCAGCTTTGTGACCGAGGCGAAGGCATTGTCCAGGTTGGATGAGCGTTGATAGAACCTCAACTGTCGTCAACAGAAATCACAATTAGACACGTCTAGAATTGTGACAGATAGCATGAAATACATGGATTTATGAGAGACAATAAATGAAGTAAGCGGTGGTTTATTCTCACCTGCTCCTGCTGGTCTATAAAATTGTAACAGGCCACCACCACAAAGTCGTTCCACCAAGCCAGACCTCCCGTCACCGTCATGTTCTGCTCCTACAGAGAGACAAACATGTGCATCACTTAGATGGACACAAACACACAACTGTACATGATTTGGATCCAAACAAAGCATTTACATCTATATTTGGTAATACAGATTTCATTGGTATGTCTGCAGCTACAAGTTGTTTACTGATAGCTGTACAAAAACCATCTTATATCGATTGTGATCCTTCAATAAACGGCTTCAACGTACCTGAGTGATATTCCCAAACAGCTTCCATTTCCTTGTGAATAAGGAGTAGTGTGCAAAGCCCCGCCTCCCTGCTACAGCCATGCATTGGCCTGCTGTGTCTATGGCTGCAAACTGGAGAGACACACATCCATAAAGCAAACAACATGACAGTTTCAAGTGTTGGCAGAAAACAAATTAACCATAAAACTTAACACAGCGTTGATAGTTTACCTGATATTTACTGTTTGCAGCCAGTTTGATGACATATTTACAAGTCGAGTTTGTCTGTACAACCATATAAAATGATGTTTGCAGGCCCACAACAACAATAAACCCTCTCTAAGAATTACAGGAGGAACTTTTTTTTAAATATATATATTTCGCTCTTGCACCTTTCAGAACAATCATTCTGCTTGTGTACACACAGTTGAGATTGCAGCATTTACTTTGTATACACAGGAATACAGCAGGATTTAGATTATGTACCCCACAGATAAAATCAGAAAGTTCACGAAAGAATTTTAAAGACGGGTTCATTAATGTTTGACCAAACGATGACGAGTAAACAGAGTTACAATCACACGTACCCGTATAGGCCAGTTGCTCTCTAGGTATGTGCTGTGAATCTAGGGGAGAACAAAAAACAAGGTAATGAATGAACTAGACTTCATATCCACTGAGCTGTAAACACACAGGCAAGTTCAGGTAAAGCTCCTTGGTGATGCAACACATATTAACACAATGACCTGTTACCACTATTTACTGCGGTACTGCCCATTCGTTCATGTTATTGGGAGGTTCTGCCACTTTTTTATTTCTCTTTTTATGATCCAGAAAAGACTCTCAGAGCATGAATGAATGCATCTCCACAAACTAGAAGTGTACACGACAGCAGGAACAAGAATCTAGCCCCCATATATATATATATCTGAATTATTAAAACCTTACTCTGCCAGCCGACCTCTCCGATCCAACGATCAAGGCCTCTTGGTTGTTTCTCGCTCCCTTTTTAAATCTAGAGGTGACCGTGCTTTTGAGGTTGTTGCTCCTAAGCTCTGGAACAATCTGCCTACTGCAGTTAGATCTGCTGACTCTGCGGAGTCTTTAAAAAAATGTTTAAAACCCACTTTTATAGGCTGGCCTTCCTTTAAGGTGTTGTTGTTGTCCTCATGTCTTTCCTGTCCTCTTTCCTGTCCTCTCTCTATTCTCCTTTCCTGTGCTTTTCCCGTGCTGATACTCTGTGTTGTATGCATGTATGTTATGCTTGTGTTGTATGTATACATGTTTGTTTGAACTCATTTTAAATTGCATCACGTTAACTTTTATTTTATCAAAATTGTGTTTTGATCTTTTTGGGTTATGTGAAAGCGCTTTGTAACCCTGTGTTTTAAAAAGCGCTTCATAAATAAACCTATTATTATTGCTATTGTTATTATAATCTACCATTTAAACCTCTTGCTTAAGTCTATAAGCACTCAGTCGCTTTTCATGAGATCTTCATCTAACTCCATGTCATGTAACCTCATACTAACATTTCCTAATGATGTAAATAAAGTCTTTTGCCACAAATCGACCAAGGCTGCACTGCTATTCCCAAACTACTGCCACTGTTGTATAAATCCTAAGCAGGAGTGATGACTGCCCGTCCCTACCTGGACCACGTGCCAGTGCTTGTGTCCCAGTAAAGTGCTGAGTCCCTGAGAGAGAGAGGAGTCGGGGTTGGGAGGGTGGTGCATCGGGCTGCCGTCGCGGGGGTGCATGTGTGTGCGCGGGTGCGTGTCGGAGCTGCTGTGGATCTGCGTGGGGTCGACACAGGTCAGGTAGAGGCGGTCCTCGCCGTGGAGCAACACCTGCTCCTGGTTACTCTGTGGAGCAAACAGACCATGAATGTTTAATGGCAGCGGCGGCGCGCTTTAGTGTGAGCTGAGCGTGCGGTGATATGTTTCCATTGCTGCTCTCACCGTGCAGGGGTTGACAGTGAGGGCACTCTTAATGAAGTGGAACTGCAGTATACCGGCCTGCAGGGAGGAGTGAGGGGGAGCGACCATTTCCACATCCTGCTGCTCCTCTGGTCTCCTCCTCTCCGGCTTGTAAGGGAGCACCCACAGGTGGTAGCCCTCTGCTCCCCAGCTCTGGAAAGAGGCAGAGTGCAAGCGTCAGTATATTAAAAAAATTAAATACAATCGGAATGACTAATCACAAAATCAAGGTTTCAAATTCGAAAAGGGTTTTGGAATAAGTTGAATACTTATATAAACCAAAACCCTTATGACAATAATAACTTAAATATATCGAATTAAACAAATTACACAACACACATTGATAATACCTTCTCAAAATAAATAATAACACACAATTTACACAATGATAACTTTCTCAGAATAAATCATAATTACATTGATTTTAATAATTCTCTTTAATAGCAGCTTATCTTTTAATTATATCTTTTATCATTTGTTTAAATTTCCCTATTTTTAGACATGTTTTTATGTTCTCACAATGGAATTTAGAGTTTGTTCTTACTGCTGGTTTGGTGAACATGTATATTCCTCTTAGACTGAAATTCCCTTAATTAGAAGAGCTTTTGGATACTGTTTGGTAATTGAATATTTTAAACTCTGTACCTTGGAATTGACCAGGTCTTCAAATTTCAATATTTTCAGTTTAATGAACAGAGATCGTCGGTTCTGTATAAGTGGATTTAGTGATTATTCTTATGTCTTTTTTTTATTTATTTAAACGATTAATTAAAAAACAAATATGAAGCAAGAGGGAAAAAAAAATCTCATTAATGTCACTGCAAACGATGCAAGAAACTAACAGTGTTCAGCCTCTGTGTTGCTTCTGTTTCACTCCAATGAAAAGCAATTTGCTCTAATTAACACGGTTAAGTGAAGCCTGGATTTGAGCAATAAAATATAAACGCAACTCAAACATCTGTGCTCATTTCACACAGTCTACTACTTATATTTACATTTTTGTGTTAAAATGTAAACAGCAGACGAGCATTGATTAAACCCACATACCATAGAGCTGATTTTAAGGGGGTCCTTCTTTGTATCATCAGAACGATACCTGAAGGGAGGACAGAGAGGAAAAAAAAAATCTTCAAGAAATTGTATCAAGTGATGTGTGACATGTGCAAGGCTGCATTTGTGTGTGTGTCCACCCACGCAAAGTCCTCTCCCAGAGTGCAGATGAGGTGAGCGCCGAAGACGCTCCACAGCGACAGGCCGCCGCACTCCCATGTAACCATGGCAACGCTGTAGTCAGGTGACCAGCAGATCAGTTTGACGGGGCCTGTCTTGTTGTAGATGTCTAAAAAAAAGAATTCAGAGAAGTTATATGATTTGATATTTTAGTTATTGCTGTACATTATACAACATATATTAAGTGAATTTCTGTAACAAAAAATGGTGCGCTGTTGGAATTTATTTCATATTTCATAATACATCACATCTTATGATGATTGGCCGTGAAAGCTGTCAAAAATGTCTTGTTTTCTCCGTCTCACTGTATTTAGTAACTGTGAGAAGCTTGGAATATTTCATTGATGCACTGAGCTCTTTTATGATTCATCATTTTCATACTCATGAGGAGCAGAAACTCCAAATGACACCAAGTGAGGAAAACAAAACATTTGAAAGTCAAACACCTTCTTTCCTCCTGCATGGCTTTAAAATTATTATTTCCCTCTCATATAAATCACAGTTTCTGATAAAACAATCCACTTATTGTACCTTCAGTACAAGACTTATTGCACCAAGATGCACCACAGAGCGCCACAGAAAATCATTGCTGCCTGTAGCCATCAGACTGTACAACTCTTCACTCTGAGTGTCAGACTTTGGACTGCTGAATATTGTGCAGTTACCATTCTATGTACAATAACCCAAATAGTAGTACGATTACTATTACATTTTATATACACTTATAACAGCAAGAACGTTTATTTATTTTGTGTTGTATTTTTATTTTTTATTTTATTTTCATATTAATTATTTTACTATGTATCTTTACTTCCTACCTCTTTAAGACTTTTGATTGGGAGCATCTGCAACTAAAAGCAATTTCCCCTTGGGGATCAATAAAGTATTTCTGATTCTGATTATTATTGCAATTCATAACATGATTAGATATGATTTTAACATGACTGTATGCATGTCACAGTAGATACAAATCTTTATGGGATTTCTTATATCTGTAGGATGATACTGCTGCTGTATTTAGACAAGATTTATTTTAGGATTAAGAAATAAAGAAAATGAGAATATTACATTGGAGTAAGCCAGAGGTGGGAGAAAAACTTTTACTCTGTTACAAGTAAAAGCCATGCAATTAAATTTAGACTTGAGTAAAAGTACTAAAGTATTAATATCAATATTTAAAAATACATGAAACTAAAAGCACTAATTAAGTAGAACTACACACTTCAATGGTCTCCAGGGCAGCAACATGGATGTTAAAATTATTGACGCAGTCATCAAGTTATTTAACCACTGTGCTGGGTTAGTCTGCTTTTGACTTTTACCTCGGGGGAACGATAAAGTTGTTTATCTTAATCTATGTATTACATCATCATTTATTTGTTGATTATATTATTTCATTTCATTTGCAAGTGACTAATGTTATCAAATAACTGTAGTGGAGTAAAAGGTAGAATACAAAAAAAGATCCTTTGCAGCATTCTGGTGTGTTTGGCAAAAGCCTCATGTGGGAGTCTAAAGTAATGAGTTTTAATGCTGAGATCTTAATTGTAAGAAAACAGCAAAACACCAGCGACTTTCACTGTTTAAATGACGATGGGCCTATGTTGCAGTTGAGCCACTAGGGGGAGCTATGGCCTTGGATCTCATTACAGGACTGAGACTGAAACCGATATGAACCGGGAGGAAACGTGAGCATGTACGCCCATAGAAGAGACAAATGCAGGAATGTACGTTATGTCAGAGAGGAATTTGTGCGAGAGCAAGATAAGGGCAGACAGATAAGAGACGAGGAGGGAGACAGAAGCGATGCAGAGAAACTGAGAGATACCTGGATAGTGTTTAGGGGTGAGCTCCAGCTTGTGGGAGAGCTGCATGGATCCCGTGGTGGTGTCTATCATGTACACCAGCACCGAGCCGCTGTAACGAGAACAAAGACGCTTTTATTGCCTCAACCTGTTGTATAAGGCGTGAAGCATCGTCTGTAATCAAAGCCAGACACTTCAAGGACTTGGAAGTGCTTCAAGTGACACGTATCTTTGATTTGGAACCGTTACATCCAAGACACAATTCTACGCTTTGAACGACTCGCAGTGCTCTTGATTGAACATTAAATTGAACACACATACTTCTACGCTGACAACACAAGGTCAAGGTATGTATCTGTGCTGATTGCAACCCATTAATCACAGAGGATTAAATCTGATTTCTGCCATGTTAGTCGCCCACATTCTCATTAAAGAGGGAAAAAAAAAATCACGCTGAGCTTCAACAGAGTAACAACCACTTCTATCATAAAGTGTGCAAAAGACTTAGTGTGCAAAGTTTGACTTTAGGCTCGACTTTCTTTTTCAAAAGCCGTCTGAACAATAATTACATAAAGAATTCTAACCCCGTGTGCGTGTTGTTTCAGTCAGGTACAAAAACTTGTAGCAAAAAGATGTAGAAGGAAAGTAGGAAGCAGCGAGGAGAGAAATTCCTGCCAACCTGGCAGATTGCATAATCCACGAGGAGTTCCTGACAAGCACACACTAGGTTGCCTCTGCAAATACAATCTGACAGATTCTCACACTGGACACACACCGCATGGACAACAATCCCTCCCTAACACACAAATGCAAACAAACACACTCAGGTTTTCCTCCTGACGTCGTATTGTGAAGACAGAGACACAGAGAGAGAGAGACGGTTGAACAGATGTGTACCTGGCACAGCCGAAGGCCATCAGTCTGTACTTGTTGTTGACGGCCACACAGGTGCCATCAGTCACGTCTGCTGCCCAGACTCCCTGCAGCTGCTGGACACACACACACAAGAAACCTTGATGAATTCAAAGTAACTGAAGGTTAGCAGAGTGTGTTTGAAATGCAACCTCACCAATACTCTAACAGAAAGCCTACAGCAGAGGATAAACGTAATCGTTGGACGGCTTGGTCACGATTTTTAATTTGACATTTATATCTGAATGCACATTTTTTATCTTCATGGTAACCTCAACACCCACTGTCCAATTCCTGGAACATCTATTCAAGCCAGAATGGTAATATTAAAACTCCTCTTGCCCTTTTTGGAAGCGAAAAAATCTCTTGAAAATACAGTCAGTTCTGTTTACATCCTGCCAAGTTAAGTAATAGCCGCGGGCTCCGTGCTGAGTCATATTAGTATGACATAAATGAAAAAAATTGTTTGGATAATTGTTCTTTGTAAGTAATTCTATTTGCCTGGTTTGTGGTAAAATAGAAGCTGCTGTCATTAAATAAAACATTTCTTAAACCATGAAGGGCATTCACAGCTCTCTAACTTCACCTGAAACTTACAAAAACTCCCCCTGCATTTATTTATTTACTGTTGATGCTGTTAGCCTTTACATTTTTTGCAAGTATCCTGGCATATGCTTGGAGAATAGCTTTTCTATTGCAGCTATCCCGTGCTGCAACCGCTATATGTTTTTTCATGATCTGGGTTTGCAGCCTTTCATTGCCTTTTACTAAAAACTTTTTAACATCCTGTGGCTACATTCACACTAATGTGTTTTCATTTTAAGATGCATAACTTCTGCTTTGCTACTCATGTCCACACTGCTAGAGACTTCTGAAAGCTCTGCTGAAAAGCTCTGGGGCTGTACTGTAATGTGGACGGGCAGAAACTGAGACCTTTGGAAAATATGACGCAGACAGTCATGTTCACTTTCTGGTTGACTGTCACCACTTTTGTTTCCTGATTCTTTATAATCATGTGACTGTTTTCAGGAAGAAAACAAAAACATATGTCTTTGCTACCAGTGGTTTATTCAATATAGGTAAAAGAAAAAAAGGCTACAGACATTGGCTACCTTGCTGTGAAATCTCAGGACTTACTTTTCAACACTGCTGCTCTTCTTCTATAGTATTTTGTACTACGTGTGTTTACACCAGCGCCTGCGTGTTTAGTGTACACAAATGGTCATGTGATCTACTTTTCCAGGCCTGTTAGTGTGCATGAGTGTGGACTTGTTTCCTTACATCTGCGGTGATGGTGTTGCTGAGTGGCGTGATAAAACCGAGGCGCCCGTCACTCAGCACCACAGCGAAGCCGTCCAGGGTCACGCAGTATTCCATAGAGCAGATATAGACTCCCTCCAGGTCCAGAGAGGGGCCACCTACACACCCACACACAGAATATGGTTTCATGTTTGAGAGAATTTAACATGGAAACACTGTTGTAATGAGTAAGTTAAGGGTAAGTAAGGGCGGCTGTGGCTCAGATGGTAGAGCGGTTGTCCTCGATCGCAAGGTTGGCGGTTCGATCACCGGCCCCTCCACAGTTGGCGTGTCCTTGAGCAAGACACTGAACCTGAAGCACTCTCAGTGGCAGGCAGCTCCAATGATTGTCTAACATTCGTCTCTCCATTTAATGTTGCTGCTATTTCACAGATGTTTTTACTTAAATGGTCCTGGACTTGAACATTAAATATGTTCAAATATGTTTTACTTTTGCTACGTAATAAAGAAGACTAATAATAATTGATCAGATTTATTTAGCGCTTTTCTAAACACTCAAAGATGCTTTACACTGTCAATTATTCATTCACACACATTCATTCTGGTGGCGGTAGCTACGACTGTAGCTACAGCCGCCCTGGGGCAGACTGACAGAGGTGTGGCTGCCATTCTGCCCCTCCGCCCACCACCTCAAACAATCCATTCATACGCATTCACACCAGGCAGGGTGGGTGAAGTGTCCTGCCTAGGGACACAACGACCAGGACACAGGTTACAGGGCGGAATCGACCGATTCGCTCGACCACCTGAGCCACAGCTGTCGACCTTGTGGTTTAATTTGGTATGGGCTTCTTTTGAATAGTTTTCACATTCTCACAGTGCTCACTTAGACTCATTTTTCAGTGTGAACAAAAATTGAATATTGACATCGGTAATATCAGTTATCGGCGATATCAGAAATCTTAATATCGGATATTGGCCAGACATTTTAATATCGTGCATCACTGTTAATTTCCCAATATTAGCTATTGACTGTGTGCGGGGGTGAGCTCTGACCTCGAGCCGACTGCAGGTCGAGCGAGAAGGGAATCGTGGTAAGGCAGATGGCCTTGCGTCCGTTGCTGCCCAGTCCATCCCAGTGCAGCACATGGAGGTAGCCGTCAGCGGTGCACACCAGCAAGTCCTCCTGGAGCGACTGCAGACTGATAAGCACAAGAGAAAAACACAAAAATGAAGTTTAATTCGAGAAAAAGAGTGTAGGAGTCGGTAAAAGAAAACAGGCAGCCGTGGTAGGTAGGACGGGTGGGAGCAAGATAACAAGACAGAATACAGTGGACTATTCATTATCCAGCTGTGCCCTGAGTGAAGCCTGAAAGGTTTACTGGCCAGCTGTGATGAGGCCACATCGCTGCCACTGCCAAGTCTCACTGTCTTCTAACGCACAAGGGGGACGAACAACAGTGTGCTTGTGCGCGTTAAAAGTGCTTCATTGTCTTCCAAAGAAGTCCGAGAGGTTTACCACCAGCACAACCGAGAGGAGAAACCCAAGAGTCAGAAAGTAACAGAAACGAAGAAGCAAAGGATTTGAGCGCAGTGGACTGACAGTGTGGAGGAGGCGACGTCTTTTTTACTGCAGCTCCACAGCAGGAGACGCCCACTCATCTCCTGCACAATCAAGCTGTGCCTGTGAAATGCCAACAGAGTGCTCTCATTCAGATGACTACCCTGTAATCTCTGTCGAGTGCAGACAGTGGAGGAGAAGCGGCGGATGAACGCGGGGACGCGGAAGACGTAGACAATACAAACAGAAGGCAAACAAAAAGATGGTTCTTGTCACTCAGCAAACAAAAAAAAACTTCCAGCTCGAGGATGTGTGGGTGACAGCAGGGAAGGTGAGTGACTGGAAGGAAAACAGAAAGAAAACTCAAACCACCACACAGGAGAGAACCAAATTACTGAACGCTGGGTCCTCTCTGACAGAATCCTGTGTTGTTTATTGCAGTTTTGTTTGACATGAAAGGAATTTGTCTTCATCGATTATATTATAATTTAGGATCTACATTTGAGAAGTAGGGCTGCAAGGTGGTCGGTGGTTAGCACTATTGCCTCGCAGCAAAAATGTCGCCGGTGAGGACACCTGGGATTTTCTGCGTGGAGTTTGCATGTTCTCCCCGTGCACTGTGGGTTCTCTCCAGGTTCTCCGTGAGGTTAATTGGTGATTCTAAATTGTCCGTAGGTGTGAATGTGAGTGTGCTTGGTTGTCTGTCTCTAAGTGTAGCCCTGTGATAGACTGGTGACCTGTCCAGTCCAGTCAGTCAGTTGGGATAGACTCCAGCCCCCCACGATCCTCGTGAGGATTAAGCGGTGTATAGATATTGGATGGATGGATTTGAGAAACACTACACATTTAGTTGTCAGTATACTAATTTACTACAAGCTGCAACTGTTATTTTCTTGATTAATTGATGGATATGACTATAAATTGTCATGAAATAGTGAAAAGCGATTGTTCTACAGCCTGTAATCTTTTCTTAAAATGTAACGTTTGTCCAAAAACAGAAATATTCATGATTTATTGATGTGCATGACAAAAAAAACCCCTGTCCATTTATCATATCTTACAGGCTGAATCCAGGCGATTTGCACCATTACTGCTCCAAACTCAAAGCAGGCCTGAAGTGCCAGAGAGAGGATGCCGATTTAAAAACGTACAAATGTCCTGTTTGCTCCAATTTTGCAGATTAGCTGGAGCCATCCTAAAAGATTTCAAATAAATTGAGTCAAAAATCAATTTACATTTTTTACGTGCAATAAAATGCAACAGACAAAAACAGAGACGCCACATTTAGAAGGAGTAACGAGAAAAATTGCCACAAGGGAACTTGACGGGCAATCAGGGTCACACACAAGCATTAAACGACGTCAAACAGATTGATGGAATCTGGTCAGGAAATTTGCATTCTCAAAATACCTCGTGATTATCCAGGGTTTTTTTTCCGCATCAAGGCATTTTTGGTGCCACCCCAAAGAGGCTTAAGCCAGCATAAAAGTATATTACCAGCGCCAAAATGATGAGAATAAATATAGCAAATCAATTCTTTAACCAGTTTTGTTCATTGGGGTTTTCTTTACTCAAGCATAATAGACATTTTTGTTCATCAAAGGGTTGGAAATAACAGGGAAATGCATAGATTTCTGTTGCATAAGGCAACACAGGCTCGTAGCTTTTCCTGTCATGCTTTTTGTCAGGTGTATTCACTCTCATTCTAAATCAGAAAACCCTCTTATCTAACAAAAATACTGTCCGGAAACCATACATATTGTATGAAGCCGATTTGAAGGCAACATTTAACTCCATCCGACTAACAATGAAATCAAAAATGTTACTTCTATCATTCCTTCCTTCCATCAATCTAAACCTATCACCCTGTCTCCATTCATCTGTCCATCACTCCCCCCTCTCAGCGAGTCTCCATTTCTGTCGATTCTGCAGGCTTCTGCCTTCGCAAATGACAGCAGAGGAGCTTAGCGTCCCACTGCACCTCGGTAATCGCTCACTGCCAATACTGACTTTCCATTAGAGGAAGAAGAGTCTTTTTCACGCCAAATTCCCTGCACGGATACACAAGGAGCTATTCATTTGTAACGGCAATAACAATGGAAGAAGGTCTTTAAATAGTCGCTGGTAAGCTGCTTCAGCAAAAACAACAGATACGTAGCTTTAAAATGTATAAATCCAGTTTTTAATGGAAGACATCCAGTGCTTCATTTACAAGACCTCAAAGTAATGAGCTGAAATGACCAGAAAATATGTATACATGGAAACATACACGGCGGTGAAGCTGTGCACAAGGAGGTGGACATAAACAAACATGATTCATAGCACTCTCCTATAGTTTACAGGAAGCGCTCGCATTACGATACGGTGTGAGTAAATCTTTTGGTGGTTTCGGTGAGTGTAGGTGGCTCTGCCTGTGTGATTGTGAGCTTGATGACACGCTGAAGGCCAGCAGCGAGAGTGGAGTGGTGTTTGTGTGAGGCTGAGGCAGACAGGCAGACACAACAGAGAGAGAAACGAGATCACAGGGAAGCATCTACCTGGTGATGGGGGCCTCCAGATCCACAGGCTTCTTCATCTCTAAAGACAGAGCGGGGGCACATTGCTCCTCCTTGTAACCGGGTGTCACCTTCACGCGAGGACTTCCTCTGTAAAAAAAAAACAAAAAAACACACAAACGCATTGTTTTAAATACACATATTAGTTTCACAAATGTGCAAATACACGTGCTGAAATCCTAAAATCCAACTCATGTTTCTAGCTCATGTGATGAAGATCATTCAATATGCCCCGACTTGCCCGACCTCTGCTGGTATGTTGTCGAGGTATGTGAGGCAAACACACCCAAACACAATGCGAGCCACACACACACTTGATACCAAGCACACAAATTAGAGGATTAGTAAAGGAAGAAAGAAAAGCAGACACTCTGAAAGACACAGAGAAAACCTGAGAAGCATTCACCTTTTGCACACTTAACATTGTTGTAGATTTTGTTTTGTGCCACTGACCTACGCTCAATAACCCAAAAGTAAAAAATGAAAACAGGTCTTTTACGGAAAAACCACAACCTGTGAAGAAACTGTGCTAAAGGTGAAACGGTCAGAAGTAGAACTTTAATCAAAATCTCAATGTGAAAAAATGTAATTAGCATATCACAGATATATGCAATGTAGGATATACAAGGTGTGGCTTTTGAATAATGAGACAAATGCTGTAGTTTTGTTTTATTGTATTTGAGGAGGTGGTGCAAGGTGGCGCAGCTGGTAAGAAGGTCGCCGGTTCGCGTCCCGGTGTGGACACCTGGGATCTTTCTGTGTGGAGTTTGCATGTTCTCCCCGTGCAGCGTGGGTTCTCTCCAGCTTCTCCAGCTTCCTCCCACACAGTCCAAAAACATGTTGAGGTTAACTGGTGATTCTAAATTGTCCGTAGGTGTGAATGTGCGCCCTAAGTTAGCTGGGATAGGCTCCAGCCCCTCTAGTGAGGATTAAACGGTGTATAGATAATGGATGGATGTATTTGAGGAGGTTGGAATTTTCAGGGCTTGTTTACTGATGAATGTATACAACATGCGTCAGCCATGCACATGTGCTTCAACCACCATAAGCCCAGTCTTGTTATTTAATAGACAAACCTTAGTGTGCTAGTCAGTGGTTCTCCTGACAGTCGTGCTTTTGATAATGTCTCATGTGCTAATGCTACATCAGATGTTTTAAATTCATTACATTGAGAACACTGAACTGAAGCTTGTCTTCCTCATGCAACAATTTCACTACCAGCCTCAACCATATAACCACAGAAGATTACATATTTGGTCATGAACAAACAAAAGAGGATATATTTGTAAAGCTGCCATGTATTACTAATAGCACCGTTTCTAAGCTGCACTGACAGACGGCTGCCGGTTGATAATGCTAATAACGCTTGACTGGGAGTGTTTGGTTAGCCTCAGATGACAGGAGTTTTAAAATCCTGTCAAATTTTGAAATCAGGCTGCATCGCACTCATAAGGAGAAACTTTACTCTTCTCTCTGAGCTCAGATGAGCACGTTCTAAAAGATTGGAAAATAATGGCACATCCACCACTAAAGGGTATTATTAAGATTATCGTGCCAGAGGGAGAAGTGAGGAAGCGGTGTGCCGCCTAATGTGATCTCATGAGAAAGCAGACGTGAATAAAATAGTGACTGTGGTGCTTGCTGTGTTGCTAATAACACTTTGCAATGGGAAAGTAGAAGGTTAAGTTAGTCTGGGAGAGAAAATTGTTATAACGATGCAGTCAACACAGGTAGTCTTTTCTTCGTGGAGAACTGGAGGGCAGATTTTAATTATGAGTTTTAATATCTGTAGCTAACGGTAGCTTCAAGGGCTAAAATGTTTACTGTTGCCTGGCAACAGTGTCTGCAAGCTGTTCCCGAGGTTTAAGACTGGGTCTGTAAACCTCTTGCATGACCAAATAACGTGCTGATCATTGGATCCGACCAAAATTAAAAGCCAGATCTGCTTCTCTGGTTGTTAGTAGAGGTGACACAGTGGTACGTTAGGATTACACTAAAGCACTGCAGTGTAAGCCAGGCTTAGGTGAACCTGACATTTTCCTGCAGCAAGAAAAAACTCTGCTAAAAGGAAAAAGCAGTAGATGCTAAGTGTTTGTATAAGCTAAATCTGTGTTTACTCAGCGCTAGTTTGACTCATCGGATGCAGATTGCAGGTATAAGTCTGTTATTGGCCGCACATGTCAGCAACTTTCTTTTTCTCCCTTTCGCTATCTACATGTAACTGTTTTCAAAAACGCGAAACAACAACCTTCAGGCAGCAAATTACATGCTAAAAAAGTTTTACCAAAGTTTGGACAATGCAATAAAGCAACCTTTAAGTAAGCTGGTACTTATTTTTTTAGTTAATATATTCATTTTATTGGCAGTGGTCACATCCCTGCATGCAAACATTCCACCAAAACAATTCTCCGGTCACTAATATGAGTGAACGCCATTGCGGCATTCCAAGACGACTGTGATTAGTTTTTAAAAAAAATAATCAGATGCCAGAGATTTCCCCCCCCAGTAGAAAAATGCTCATGAGGTGCAGCTCGACCATTATACCCAGTGTAGCGTCAGTGCTAGAGAATGATTTATAGCCAATAATGTCATTAGGTGGCAAAGTGAGCAGGGCTGACATTGCGATATCCACTACTGAACAGATCAAACAACACAAAAAATAGTGTTGTTGTGTGTATAATATAAATGCAATATTGTACATTTAACCCTTCAACAGATACAGGCCACATTTGAAGTTGATATAACATATCATAAAGATGGCTGGATGGTTCGTTGCCTGTGCATGTGTGCATCAATGTATGAATGCGTGTTGCGCTTACTTTGGATAGACGGGCTCATAGAGGTACTTGTCATCTCCTCCACCCAATACATCAAACAAGAGGATGTAGCCTTTGGCAGTCTGAAAATAGAGAGAGAGAGAAAAAAAACACAGTCATTAAAATAACATAAATGTACTTGCTCATCCGTTATTTCATTATCAGACAGGAAGATGGAGGGAGGGAGAGTCAGACAGTGAGATTGCATAAAACCACATTTTCAATACAGAGAAGCAGTGAGAGAAAATGTGTAAAAAAAAAAGAAATATGAATAAGAATGACAAGAAATGAAGTGAAAGGCATCGCAAACTTGCAAAGTCACTCAATGCCTTTTCAGGCAACGAGACAGAGATATAATGAGGGAATAGGAAGGGAGACAAAATGCGACTGATGGAAATGACACAAATAGACAGTTCTGTTTATCACTGAAAGAACAGAACAGACGTTGGCAAGCAATGAAAACAGAAAATCAATAGCTCTAATATTTTGTGAAAGGCCACAAGCGGAGTCACTCTTGACGTCCTTCTTGGGCTCAAGCTGACTAATAATGATAACCGTGACTATATTGGACTACAGTTAAGTTTTTTTCTCCCCCGAAGAAGTCAAGATAAAAGTAGAATAAAAAGCCTTTTGGATTATAAAGAAAAGACAAAAACAAGGCTGTCAAAGATGTTTTCAAGAAACAGTCACGATTCGGATTCTCCACACACACAGCATCTATTTTTTATTTTATGAATAAAATATGGTATTTGTGTTTTGGCAAGAGTTTTTTTTAAAGAGATTAATTGCTATTATAGCAAAACGGTTTCCTATAATAGCCCGACTGCTTCTTTTACTTTCCCATCAGATCGAGTGACCAATCGATGAAGACATACGATGAAAGGGTCGCTGCCCTCACGTCTTGAATCCTCTGTGGTGCATTAAAGAGACTGGGTGAAGGCAGGAGGAACAATTTTTGGGTCATGGTTGGAGGATGGAAAAAAAAGGACTTGAGGAAGCTCTGTGTCTGTAGATCCAAATCTCCAGGTGAGAAACATCACTCAACTGCAGAGACATAACTGAATGATCGTGACTGAGCCCAATATTGAGCACTTTACATCATCGGTCTTCAACCTTATTTGCACCACGGATCGGTTTCAAGCAAAACCATTTTTTCATTGCGCACATAACAAATAATAATCGTTTTTTCTATTAAAAAAAGTGTCATAATCGAATCAAATTACTTTTTTATTGCTAAATAAGTATTTACTATTTCTTCTGTCTCGGCATCTCGTCCTCTTTTCAAAGAAGCTCTCCAGAAAAGTTTGTTTTTTATTCCTTTTGGCAGCAGTTAGAACAGATTTTAATGGCCGGGCATGAAAACTGACGGGAAACAAGCACAGCCAGAAGTTACGGGAAGACGAGCAAGACATTTTGCAAAATAAAACACCCTGCAGACTTTGCCGGAAACAAAATAAACCAATAAAACATTTTTATTCTTTCTGTGCGGCCCGGTACCAAATGACCCACGGCCCGGTGGCTGGGGACCACTGCTTTACATTATTGGCACTACGTTCTTGTAATAATTCTGGTTATCTCAAGAAAACAACAACATCCACTGCAGTTTATCATCAGTGTTTTAGGGTAAATTTCACATTCAAATTGTTTTGTATATCTGTAGTCAGTATTTGTGACACTGTGCTGTCATGGGTAACAAAACATATCAGAGCACACAGACGAAGTCACATCCTTTAATTGCGCAAACAAAATAATGTTTCGACAACATTACATCATCACAGCAGACAAAGGCATGAGTCAGCTACATAGAATCAGCCTGAACCAGGTGTACAATTGTCATTGGACAATTAGATGAATTGGGTTTCAAATCTATTGGATCGTAAATACAAGGGTGTGATTGCCCCGCCTCTTACACCGTGTCTGAAACAAAGAAGCGCTGACCTCAGAGTTACGGAGGTAAAAGTACATCAACGGCCAAAACAAACATCTGTCAAGTGTGACAGCCCAGAGGAAATATGACAAACCGAGCAGCTCGCTTACGCCAGAGGGCTAACATCACGTCAGAAACAACACTAAAGAGCACAGACATCTCCTAAAGGTACAAAATGTTCAACATTTCTTTCTGCAATAAATAATGCTTGACATCATCCTGCACTGCACAATCCTTAAAAGCTTCTAGTTGCTAATTTTGAAAAGTGAGTTTACATTAGCTTAAAAAAAAGAAGCTGCATTTAAATGAATCTCTTTAGCTTACTGTTGTGTACTGGCCGGCTGAGCTCCCTGCAGGTCGACACTGCTGTTGGTGTTACCGATAATGATGCTCAGAAACCATTTTGATACACAGTAAAGGTTCCATTCTGTGGATCTTTGGTGTGAAAACAATAATACTATATGTACATTCTAGTATGTTATTCTGATGCTTTTATCCCCACAACAACACACATGTACTGCTGTCAGGGAAACTGCTGAAACTGAGCCTGCAGACTGAAACAAGACCCGAAACCTGATCTACGCTCTCCTGTCAGCAGTAATGTGTCACGGCCCTACAGTGGCTGAACATAAAGCAGCTTCTGTCATGCCAGCCGAAGAACGAGCTAAATCAGAATGAGTTCGACATATAAACAGATTGGTTTGCGCTGTACGCCGGTGTTTTGCACGGTTTGTGGCAGCGCGCTACACACTTGTCTAGTGTGGTGACAGTGACTGTTGGGAGCAAGTCAACACATCACCGCAGCAATAAGAAAAGCCAAAGCAAAGAGAAGGTAAAGCCAGCAAGCTGCACGAAGTTCAACTTGAAAACAGGAGCTGCTGCCAGAGCCGAGAACAGGCAGCCAGACTGAGACCTGGTAAAGTCATCAGCAGCCCTGGAGCTCACGGGTGATGAGCTACAAAGGCAAGAATTGCTAAACAACAACCCTCCGACACGCAATAAATCTAATTCAGAGAGACAAGAATTATGAGTTATCAGGGAAGGTATCTTATTTCTGTTTTCTTGTGGGCAAAAAAGAGAAACCGTCAATACAAGGCAACTGAAAAAAGAAACACTTTAAACAGCATGAATCCTATTTAAGAGGTAATTTGTCTGATAATAATGACGTGGTCAATTATAAGAACTGTGTGAAAGCTGTGCCAAAACATTCAAAGCTTCTTCTCTGACAAATATTTTATGCAAATATTTCTATTCAAATATTTGCTGAGGAAGGCGGTGATGACAGAGTAAACATGTAACAGCGCAGATGTGGTGAAGGGAATCGTTAAGCTAACTTCAAAACATAAACAGATCTCACACTTGATTGTAGGAAACATTTAGATAAACAGCTTGCGGTGGAATTGCTTTACTGCTGAACACGATGAAAGCACATCAACTCTAAAGACATTATTTGCCCAAATCACAAAAACACTCTGCCAGTTGTGAAGGAAGTATTCAGAATCAAAACTTAAGCAGAAGTACCAGGACAGTAATGAAAATAGACTCAATTATAGGTAAAAGTTCTGCATGAAAAATCAAGATTTTTGTCGAAGTACTGGCTCAGGGGGTCGGGCAACTCCTTTGCAATTCTACAGTTCCCTTTAAAACTTTTATCCAAAGCGACATACATCTGAGAGCAGACACAACACAAGCAAGGATCTAGTTTGGAGAAAACAACCCAGATAAGTGGTATAGAACAAATTCAAGTGTGATAGGGCAGGGGTGTCCAATCCTGGCCCTCGAGGGCCACAACCCTGCGTGTTTTAGATGTTTCCCTCTTCCAACACACCTGATTGAAATGATCAGCTCATCATCAAGCTCTGCAGAAGCCTGATAACGATCCTGATCATTTGATTTAGATGTGTTGGAAGAGGGAAACATCTAAAACATGCAGGACTGTGGCCCTCAAGGACCAGGATTGGACACCCCTGTGATAGGGCGTTGATGCCAGTAGCAGGCTGTGTGAGAGGTAAAAGGGTTTTTTTTTTGTTTGTTTTCGGGCTGTCAAGGGCAAAGGTGTTCGGTGAAGAGCTGGGTCTTTAGTCTTTTCTTAAAGACTGAGAGGGAGTCAGCAGATTGAACAGAGTTTGGTGACTTGTTCCATCACCACGTAACCACAGAGGAGAAGAGTCCAGCTATCGACTCGGGTTCTGTTGTGGTGGTTGGATCAGGTTGGTCGAGCTTGGTGAGCGGGAGGGAGTGTAAATCTGAATGAGAGAGTTCAGGTAGGAGGGACCTTTGTATGCAGTTTAATATGGTGAGATACTGCATCATTTAAACAATAGCAAAGTTTAGAGCAGGGGTGCCCAATCCTGGTCCTCGAGAGCCCCTATCCAGCATGTTTTAGATGCCTCCCTCTTCCAACACACCTGATTGAAATGATAAGCTCATCATCAAGCTCTGCAGAAGCCTGATAACGATCCTGATCATGTGAATCAGGTGTGTTGAAAGAGGGAAACATCTAAAACATGCTGGATAGGGGCTCTCGAGGACCAGGATTGGGCACCCCTGGTTTAGAGGGGAAAATCTGTTTGGTGGAGCTGTTAACAACTCATAGATATTTGAAATGTGACCCTGATAACACACTGTCGTATTGCTAAAACATCAGAAGGCAAAAAAGGTTGGAAAACACTAGTTTAACCTTTAACAATGTATTGCATTTGAAAAGATGGTTCCCCGTTGCATTAAATCTTAAAAGTAATGAGTAACTAAAGCTGCCAAATAAATGTAGTGAAATAGAAAGTAGTATATTTCCCTCTGAAATGTAGTGGATTAGAAATGTAAAGTAGAATAAAATACTTAAGTAGCATGCAAGTACCTCGAAACTGTACTTGCAATCTGCATCCTGCAAACATACATCTGAACTAATGGTACTTGATTTACCCTGGAGGTATAATTATCTTTGTAGCATGTATCAGGAGCCTAATTTACCTTCATTCATACAAGTCAAATAAAGTGAGTGTGTTTACTCTCACACGCTGAATTACGTCTGCTGAGAACAGTCATTGTGCATCGAGGCTGCACGGAATAAATAGCCGCTCCATCATTTTAATGTTAGCACTATATATAGTTAAGATGATCACAGTAGTCTCATTACAGTGACCTACTTAGTTATTA